TAAAAATAAAACCGCCGGTGCTGCGCTGTCCCACGCACCGCCGTCACCGCGTGCTCGCACACACAACAAAAGTAAAGCGAACGAGAACCGTACAGTGTCGGGTGCGTGTGTAGTTGTGTAGATGCGCGTGGCCAGGCCTGGTACGCCGATACACGCGCACAGGTGCTCGGCTCCGGAAGGCTCCCGTCTTACGCAATCCGTATCACTGCAACAACGGCGGCGGCAGCAGCATCAGCGCGTATGTGTGTGTTTATGGGGTCGCCCAACAGGAGGAAGCCAGTGGCCCGCGACGGCGCGAGAGATGGTTTTTTTCTCACCACCTGCCCGCTTTTCCCACGCTTCTCTCTCGCGCGCACCACCGTACACCGCCCCCTCGGCCGTGTGTGTATACCAGATGGCCTACGCCCCGTAATTAAATCGGACACACCATCTGCAACCCTTAATAATAATAATAATCGTCGTGCACATAACACTCTGGTCCATAATGCGATCCGTGTGCGCACCTCGAACATGTTTCGGGAAAACCGTTTACACGCACTTTCAAAGGGTCGTGGCCGTTGATGTGTTTTGTTGCCGTCAAGGTGCACACTATGGACGCGGCCAATGAAAAATAATAGAAACGTCTCAACCTGTCTCATTGATTTCACCGGGTTTAGTAACATTTTTTTTTTGCCGTTTTTTTTTTGTTCTATGCGCACTAATGTTTTATACGACACACGCCTTTGTACACCGTTTGCCAACTTCGATTGATATGGAGTTCACAATTATCGAAATCTGAACGGTTACTTTTTGTCTTCTACAAACACATTTTCACTATCGACGTTACGAAAGAATAAGCGCTAAAAAGTGTCAGTTTATGATTTCCAAACAAGAGACGCAATTTTTGACCGAGTTCAGACAAGTTATAGGTCATTGTTTTATTTATTTTATACTTCGAACCATTTTTTTCTGATATCGTGTAAACATACTAATAAAATAATAACCTACAAACATATTTTTTACGTTGCATATCTTTTATGCTTGTATATATTGATTACATCACATTTTATCTTTAATACCTTGTGGAAGGTCTGAGGATATGTAATTTAACACGTCATAAAATATTAGTGAGACCTATTTAATAAAAAAACCTCATGATGAACCGTTTGAAAAACAAGTCATAACCAACGCAAACATCAATCTGTAATTCTCACGTTTCATTTTTATTTAACTAAATGCCGACCAAGTCTATGCCTGTGAACTAATCTTCAACTTCATCCGGTTGTAAAACTATAACTAACACGTGACTTTTTAACCAGCTTAACTCTTCTCGACTAATTCTCTTTTTTCTCCGAATCATTTTCTTCTAGTCGAACATGTTTCACGTTGTAATAGTATTGTAACTTTTATTAAATTATGTCTAGAATTTGGGCGATGGCATTTTAGTCGCCGAAGAATTTCAGGACATCGTATTCGTTTAAAATATTACACACTATCCTAAACGATACAAAAATCGAATAAAACATTTATTTGTTTTATCCTCCAAGTCAACTGTGTATAGTTGT